GTCCTTATGAGGAGAGATTTGAAGACACGGAGGAGACACGAGAGAAGTCCAGACAAAGATGAAGGCAGAGATTGGAATGACGCAGCCACAAGCCTGAGTGGCGCAGGTGGTTAAGCGCTCAACTACCAGCCAAAAGGTTGGCAATTCACCTCTACCCAGCTGGAAAGACAGGCCTGGCAATCTGTTCCCGTTGCAGATAATTTCTACTGAGGGTCCCGCCGGCGTGGTGAGTAGGTGAGGAGAGGAAGTGCATTTACTGCAGGTGTGCAAGCAAAGCGCTCGAGAGGACGCCGCCTCAGATCGTGTTTCCTGAATGGCGAGGGCCTGGGATTTGATACGATGTGAACAAGGAAGTTCACGCAGAGAAGATAGCTCACATCGGCTAACACTGTGTGAAGGTGCAGTGCTGCAGATGGCGATAGTCTGTTGTTCAGCCAGTGGCGTCTGAGCCCTACTCTGGGTGCGATTCTTACCATGCTAATGAGACCTCCTGGTGAACGTTAGGTGCCTGGATACTCTGGGAGAGCCTGCACAGGTCTCCGCTGCCTTAAACTAGTTTTGCACCAGTGTTTAGTTGCAGGTTCAAATGTTACAGGAAGGACCAGGACATGCATTTGTGATTTGCTCATGTGCTGGGAACAACAGTGGAGCTAGGCTCTCTGTTACTTGTCCAAGGTCAGAGCCATGAAACCCACAGAGCGGAGCACGGTTCTACTCAGCACTGGGAGTCGGAATTGACTTGATGGCAACTAACAACACAGCCACGAAGTCACAAGAAGGTGTAAGAGACCCCAGAGGGAGTGTGACCCTGTCCACACCTTGATTTCAGACTTGTGTCCTCTAGAACCAAGAGAGAAAACACTCTGCTGCGTTAAGTCCCCCTCGTTTGTGGTACTTTGCTGTGGCAGCCCCAGGACACTCACACATGGGCCTCCCCCTCGCTGTCCACTATCACCCAACCTCGCCTGGTCCCACCCCATGACTTTTGCACTGCTTGTTTCCACTTTCTGTACCATAGTTCCTTAGGCCTCCTGCACCCTTCCCTATTTCAGGTCTCAGCTCAGCCCTGGGTCACTCATACAGTATACCCCCCACCCCAGCAAAGAATTTTCCAGCCCAAACATCAGCAATGTTGTGGTTGAGAAATTTCAGAGCAAGGAGATGCCTCTGGGCAGTAGGTCACACTCAGGCCGAGGCCAGGCAGCAGAGGAAGCTTGGCAAAATCGATAAACAGAGAAAAGTCAGGAAGGGTGGAGTATGGTGCAGGAGGATGTGAGGGGGTGGGGGGGAGTCTTTGCAGTGGGGGAGATCGTGGGAGCAGCCGTGAGAGACAATGAGAGCTGAGGAAGCGGACAAGGTTCATTATATGACCATCCAGGGCAGGGAGCTGTGGGACTTGATGACAGTGTGGAGCACGGAGAATTCAGGGTCCTGACCCCAGGGCCACAGATAAGAAGTTGGCCATAGCTGGAATTCCAGGAGAACTCAGGAAGCAAGATAACTGAGAAGAATGGGACTAGGGAGCCTGGGAAAATCCAGGAAAGTGTGTGGAAGGTCTTGCTTGAGCCCTCAGTTTTGAAGACATGGAGATGCTCTCTGGAGGAGGGCTTCCCAGGGCTGGGCACTGCAGGATGAATAAAAGTTCACAGGACAGAGGAGGAGGGAACAGTCTAACCGAGGCCAGGCCTGTGTGTCTGCAGATCCAGGTTTGAATCCCAGCCCCCTTTCTGTGGGAGGATGACCCTTGTCCCACAGCCTGTTTCCTCTCCTGAGCCGTGGACACCACAAACGATAATGCTTGGCACGTGCACACAGGGAGCAGAGTCCGTATGAGGACGAGATGGTGGCACGGGAAACATTCTAGATAAGAGACGCCCACATTATCCCCAGGGGTGGCCCCTGAAGCTTTAGGGTGATGCAGTGACACACTCCAAACTGCAGAGTAATTTTTTTTTTAATCCTCTCAAAAGGAGTTTTTATTATCTTTTGGAGCCCAAAGGAACAGGAGAAAGTGATCTCCCTGATGCATCACAGCAAAGCACAATGCAGACTCCAGGCCTAAGTCCTCAGGGGTTCAATTCCTGCCAAGCTCTGGAGGGGCGTAGCCTAGGGCCAGCTTAGCTGCATATCACTCCTAGAGATGCCCTGTGCCCCCCACCTAGTGCTATCCCATGATCCCGACTGCTACCTCGTTCCCCCGTAATAGTCTCCATAGTACTACCTCCATTCCCCCCATATTACACCGTGCACCCCTTAATACTACCCCCTGCCCCCCATGATGCTGCCCCGCGGCCCCTCAGAGCCAGCCAAGTCAAGGGGCGTGGAAGAAGGTAGCAGTCATGAAAAGGAGCGGTCCAGCCTCCGACCTAAGACGCACAAATACAAGAAAGTTGGGGCAGATCCGACGCAGACCAGACAGAACACGCCCAGCCCCCTTAGCCCCCGCCCCTCCAGGCCCCGCCCCTCAGACCTCGCCCCTCCAGGCCCCGCCCCTCCTCTGTGCGCTCCCGCCTTTCTTCTTAGTTTGGGACGCTCACCTCCTCACCAGCTAGCGTCCTGGAACTTCAGGGTGAGGCCCAGGAGCAGGAGGAGCGCAGCGGCCACCGCGGGGCCGGGGGCAGCTGAGGAACTGGAGGAGTCGAAGGATTTACTCTGTTCTGAGGCTTCCTTCTCTTTTCTGGGACAGAGATGGCGTAACTCAGGCAGTGGCTCTAGGGTCCTGCCTTCTTCCCAGAGTCGTGGAGGTGACGAGTGGGTGATGGCCACCCACAGGCTGTGTGACGCTACACACGCAGCTGTCCCTGTCTGGGCCTCACTTGCACCCCTGGGAAATGGGGATTTGGGGCTGAAGGAGAGCCTGGGTCTTGGGGACTGGTAGAGGGGCAAGGGCATGGTCTGGGGGCTCTCTGACCTTAACAGCTCCACCTCTGCCAACTTCTCCTGCAGCGTCTGGTTCAGTTTCTTGATCTCCCCTGGGGGACCAGACAGGAGAGGTGCGTTTCCACGCTGTGGCCATGCCCTGACCTGGGCCCACCAGAGGCTGCCTCTTGCCCTAGGCCTTCAGGGGAGTGTGGCCCAGATCCCACCTTGGAACCACAGTGCTCTCCTTTCCC